GGGCTAGAGTACACAGGACAGCCCCGCCTCAGCAGCCCCGCGTGCGTGGCGACAGACACGCCGAGGAAAGAAGCTTCTTTGGGGCCATGCAGCCTCAAGGGGCCGTGCAGCCTGGCGATAGATGCCGCAGCTGGCTGACGCGGAAGCAGCCGACAGATCGGGCGCGTGCACGCACGCCGGCGCGGCGCAGCAGGGCGTGCTGGACGGTGGGGCCAGTCGATCCCCCTAAACGGCCGTCACAGTGGCGGCTGCGTAGCTGACGCTCGAGTCTGTGAGCTCCTCGCAGTGGCTGGACTGGTCGTACGAATTGAAGGCGACACTGAACTTGGTGGCGCAGTGGTGCAGCATCTGTGCGCGGAGGCGCATGCAATGTGGCGTGCGCCGTAACTCATGGCGGCTCATGCGTGGTGGGGGTGGTTGATGCACATAGCATTCCGCATGATGACGAGACGTCACAGTGGCGGCAGCACGTGTCAAGGACTAATTGGAGGGGTGGATGCCCCGTTGCCACCGAAAACCACAAAAACACCCAGAATTGGTTGTCTGGACTCTCAGCGGCGCCCCCATGCATTTGTTATCATCCGAGCAAATTGTTGCAAAGCCCCCCTTGCCAAAAGGTTTTCGCAACAAGGTTTTCTTCAGGCAGCCCTTCCCCCTGCCTGCTAGGCCCAACTCCCTCCAGAGTCCTGTGGCACCCGGCTCACGTTGAGCAGCACCCCTATGGGGTGTCTGCCGCAAATGGTGTTGCGGTACTCCCGCTGGTACTCAGCAAATGCCTCCGGGTCGCCCTGTGAATTGGTGGGTGGGTCGATGTGCGTGTGAGGGTGATGATGGATGTGTCAACGCGCATGTGAGGGGGAGGATGGCTGCGTTGATGTGTGTATAAGGGGGGCTTATGTGGGTATGGAAGTAGGGGGAATGCAGGCTTGGGCACAGCACATATTGACAGCCGTGCACCCCTGGGATAACACTCGAACTGAAGCACATGTGCTCGCACCCGCCCCATCAGGCAAGCACGTGCACATGCGTACATATGCACACACAGGCACGCATGCGTGTGCGCACACATACATACAGACGCACGCACGCACGCACGCACGAACACACACACACACACACACGCACACACGCACGCACGCACACACACACACACACACAAACAGACACACACACGCACCCACACACGCATGCACACAAGCAACGCAGCTGTCGCCACCTTTTCAATGATCCTCATGCCAAGCTCGTCCAGCCACTGCACAGACTTCCAGATGGGGCCCTGGGGGAGGGAGGGGTAGACGTATGTTGGCTGGAAAGCAAGGGCTTGCAGTGCATGTGATGGTCAAATTGACCCACACTTGCTTGGCTCAGTTATTACAAGCCGTCAGCCCGCGATGCGCAGCATGCGGGCGTTTACACACAAACACACACACACACACACACACACACACACACACACACACACACACACACACACACACACACACACACACACAC